AGGGAAGGGGGCGGGAAGAGATTAACCAAAGAACGTGTATGTATATATGCATAACCCATGGACACTGACAATAGTGAGGTGAAGGCCTGCAGGGGTGCAGGTGGGGGACAGGAATGGGGTGGAGAAAGTCATGGGGGGGAGGCGACATCTGTAATACTTTCAACAATTTTAAAAAGAATGAGAGCTAGAATAATATTTAATATGAAAGATTAGCCCTAACCAGTTTGGCTCAGCGGATAGAGTGTCGGCCTGCAGACTCAAGGATCCCAGATTCGATCCAGGGCATGTACCTTGGTTGCGGGCACATCCCCAGTAGGGGGCATGCAAGAGGCAGCTGATCGATGTTTCTAACTCTTTATCCCTCTCCCCTCCTCTCTAAAAAATCAATAAAATACATATATTTTTTAAAAAATATGAAAGAATAGGTGACATTTGCCCACCTGGGCAAATAATGGCAAACTCAGAGAAGCCAATAATTGTATTCTGGACATAAGACATTTCAGCAGATCATGGTGGCTGATGATGATGATCCACAAATTGGTCAGAACATTTCTATTACAATTCCGAATATTGTTTTTGAGATGGCTCTTCTCTTTTAATAAAAATTTGAAGATTTGAAATAAATAAATATGGTGATGGCTCCTCTTGTTGGGATCTTCACTATAGGGAGAGCAGTGGTGGAGACACAACAAGAGGCATATCTTGGGATGCTGCATAGAATGCTTCGTAGGACTTGTTTTGGCCACTGAAGTGTTTCAGGAAAGAGAGTGAAAAAGGTAAGTATGACCGGCCAGTGTTGCTCAGTGTTTTAGTGTCGACCTATGAGCCAGGGGGTCATGGTTTGATTCCCAGTCAGGTCACATGCCAGGGTTACAGGCTCAATTCCCAGTTCAGGGGGTAGCCGATCAATGATTCTCTTTCATCATTGGTGTTTCTATCTCCTTCTCTGAAGTCAATAAAAATATATTAAAAAAGAAAGATCAGTATATAGATGAGTGCCAGCAGGGTGGAGATGTATTTAAGGCAACCACTTGTTAAAGGCTGGCTTCCCTAGTAACAGGGAAAGTGAGGCAGGTCCTAAAAAGATTCAATCACAGCTTTCCATATCTTCTGGAAGAAGGAGCAGGCAGGGCAAATTCTTCACCAAATTCTCGGCCTTGGGCTTCATTCAGCCACTTACCTTTACTCTGCCCCTTCCTCATGGAGTCCAGAGCGTCATGGTGCCACTCTTTGGCCATTCAGAGCCTCCAAATAGCTCTGTGCACAGCTATTTGAACTTGAATCAGTTGCCCTGATCTTCAGTTTTTGAATTAGTAAAAAATGTTTTATTCCCTTCAGCATTAGACATTTGAATAACAAATTTACATTTATTTATTTTAATTTTTATTGACTTTATTGGGGTGACATTGGTTAAGAAAATTATACGGGGTTTTAGGTGTACAATTCTATTACATCATCTATTATGGTATGGCATGTTCACCACCCAAAGTCTCCTTTCGGCACCATTTATCCCCCCGTAACAAATTCACCGTTAGATATGAATGTCTGAGAGCCGCCTCCTCTCACATTTTGTTTCCTATATTTTGGGGTAGTGCTTAATAAGTTTTAAAACCATATTCTTTTTTTTATATCAGTGATATATATCCATTGTTGAAAATTTGAAAAAATAGAGAAAATAAAAACCACTTACAATCACATCACTCAGAGATAATTATTGCAAACATTTTTGTTGTGTAGAGTTGAATTCACTGTGTGTGCATGTATGTATACATACTTTTAAAAGCAAATTCTCCCATAATTTCATGAAAATGTATCATCTACATCAGAGGACACTAGTCTACTGCAGTCAGTATTCAAGCAGAACTTAGCATTTTCTATAAGATGTATATTAAACCCATATCTTCTACTTATTAAATTTTATGCTGATGAGTAGATTATAGTAATTTGGCCACCTTTGAGCCAAAAAGAGCCTTTTGCATGTTTCCTCTTATAATTTTGGCCTTGTACAGGTACGTTGCAAAGGATTTTTTGTACTTTATAAGCCTTGACAACAATTCATTTAGTAGTGTTTGGGCTCTCTCTTATTGAACATCTGTTGGTAATAAAAATGTCTTATGCCAAAACCGGTTTGGCTCAGTGGATAGAGCGTCGGCCTGCGGACTGAGAGGTCCCAGGTTCGATTCCGGTCAAGGGCATGTACCTGGGTTGCAGGCACATCCCCAGTGGGAGATGTGCAGGAGGCGGCTGATCGATGTTTCTCTCCCATTGATGTTTCTGACTCTCTATCTCTCTCCCTTCCTCTCTGTAGAAAACCAATGGAATATATTTTTTAAAAAAAGTCTTATACTATCTATAGTGGTATCAGACATAACAGTATCCCATAGTTTGTGGTTTATCAACCAGACTGCGGTTTTCAGCTGGAGGCAGGGAATGGCCCTTCAAATATGTACTCTAACATTTGCATACAATGCTGACATCCTAGATGTTAAGCATTTTGTTATTCAGTTGGTTGCCTGCATTCATGCTTGCTCCCCCTTTTCTCACACGTAATGTCAGGATGATTGATTGAATTGCTTTTCTGCTGGGCATATAGCTAAAATTTATTTCAGGGGGTTCCTTCCCTTCCCCCAACAATGCCATTTTAATGGTCAACATTTGGTGATCGGCTACTACGTGTCAGGAACTGAAGGCTCCTGGCTCAAGGATATCACAGAATATAAATTACATAAATTTACTTGTTAAAAAATCGAGACTCTGAAACATGAAATAATAGTATATGTGAAACATGAAATTTTTCCTTTAAGCTGTCATTTAAAAAGTACAGTTAAAATAGCCTCATGACATGCAGAAATAAAACTTCCAGCATTTTCCTGTCACAAAATGATTACATCTTGAATTTTCTAGCCACCTTCACACATCTATGAGTTTTAACAGCTTTCATTTATTGTGCTGTATGTGCCACTTTTCATTCATTATCTTACTTAATTTTCTCAACCTATAAGGTAGGTTTTGTTTTTTCGTGCATGAGAAAATCAGGTAGTGTCCAAAATCACTGAGAAAATATAGTGCAGGTTTTCAAAGCCATGCATGATTTCAATCCATTTTTAAAAAATATGTTTTTATTGATTCCAGAGAGAGAGAGAGAAAGAGAGAGAGAGAGAGAGAGGGAGAGAGAGAGAATGAGAGGGAATCATGGGCTGGCTGCCTTCTGCCTCCCCTCCTGGGGATTGAGCCCGAAACCCGGGCATGTGCCCTGACCAGGAATTGAACCTGGGACCCTTCAGTCCGCAGGCAGACACTCTATTCACTGAGCCAAACCAGCCAGGATTTCAGTCCATTTTAAAAAATGATTTTATGATGACTTAGCTCCCAATTCTTTGGATGACTAGTTCTTCAGCAGAAGTTTATGAAGTTTGTTGACCAGACCCTATTGAATTCTAGTTCTAAACCAGACTTGTGAGTCTGGGCGTTTACTTTCAGAGTTAACAAAATGATCAAGAATACACCTTTTGCCCTTGCCAGTGGGCTCAGTTGGTTGGAGCATCATCAGGTACACCAAAAGGTGGCAGGTTCCAGGTCTGGTCAGGGCACATACCCAGGTTGTGGCTATCCCGGTTGGGCTGTGTGGGAGGCAAATGATTAATGTTTCTATCAAAATCAATTAAAAAGAATAGACATCTTACTAAGCTGGTCATGAAAGGATTTTGCAAACTCAAACAATCTAAAGCTGTGACGAGCCCTGGCCGGTTGCTTCAGGGGGTAGTGGTCAGCCTGTGGACTGAAAGGTCCCAGGTTAGATTCAGGTCTGGGGCATATGCCCAGGTTGCAGGCTCGATCCCCAGTAGGGGGCGTACAGGAGACAGCAGATCAATGATTCTATCTCATCATTGATGTTTCTCTCTTTCCCGCTCCCTCTCTGAAATCAATAAAAATACTTTA